GTTGGGTTCTTGTCACATAGCCTGACGGAGACAGAGCGAAACTACGAAATCTATGACAAAGAAATGCTCGCCATCATGTTCGCGCTGGAAGAATATCGTGCCATCCTCATGGGTGCTAAGGAGACGTTCGAGATCTTCACTGATCATCAAAATCTCGAATATTTCAAGAAGCCCCAGAAGCTGAATCGCCGACAAGCCCGATGGGTCACTGAGTTGTCACAATATGACTTCACACTGCACCATCGTCCCGGGGCGCTTAATCGGAAGGCTGACCTGCTATCTCGACGGGCCGATCATGATCAAGGAAAGGACGATAACAAGGACGTCATTCTCCTAAAGCCAGAATTATTCAGGGCGACTCAAGTACACTTCGAGGGACCAGAAGATGATCTTCTTAGTCAGATCAAAACGACTAGAAGATTAGATACCAGTGTCAAACTGGCCCTTGAAAAGTCGCTGCCTGATTGGCGAAGAGATGGTGATCTAATCCTTTACCGAGATAAGATCTATGTGCCCCGAGATGATACTCTTCGTGAACGGATCATTCGCTTGCATCATGATACCCCGCTTGTTGGACATCCAGGAGAATATCGGACTCAAGAACTCATTGAACGCAAATATTGGTGGCCCAGAATGGGTAACCAAATCAAAGAGTATATCCGAACCTGCAATGCGTGCCAAAGGACTCGATGGAGACAACGAACTCATGGATTCCTGAAACCCCATAGTGTCCCCAATGGACCATGGGAGACAGTGTCAATGGACTTGATCGGCCCACTACCAGAAAGTAATGGCTTTACAGCTATCCAAGTCTGGGTCGACTTGTTTACCAAACGGATCCATATCGAGCCTGTGAGCATCAAGATCAACAGCGAGGGAATCGCACGCTTGACACGCGATCGGATTGTGCGATATCACGGGGTTCCTCGGAAGATAATCTCAGACCGAGACCCCCGTTATGTATCCGACTTCATGCGTGAGCTTAATCGGCTGCTGGGAACAGAGATGAACCCAAGCACGGCATACCATCCTCAAACCGACGGTCAGACAGAGCGGATGAACAAAGAGATTGAACACTATCTCCGCATCTATGTCAACCACCACCAATCAGACTGGTCGGAATGGTTACCGTTGGCTGAATTCGCCTATAACGACAAAGCTCATGCTTCGACCAAGGTCTCGCCATTCTTCCTAGATCATGGGTACCATCCCTGGAAAGGCGTCGAAGGACCATATGACTCTAAGGTTGAGGCAGCAGAAGAATTCTCGAAAAAGATGCAGCGCGTGCGTGAGGATGCAACGGTGGCAATTAAGAAGGCCCAAGAGCGGATGAAGAAGTACTATGACCAGAAACGTGTACCAGCACCTGAGTTCAAAGTCGGAGACAAGGTGTACGTTGAAGGGTCAAAAGTGCAACAGAATCGACCATCCGAGAAGCTCAATGATCGACGTGTGGGACCATTCAAAGTGGAGGCAAAGGTTGGACCTTCGGCATACAAACTCAAGATGCCAGGTTCTAGTCAGGCTCATCCAGTCTACAATGAGACAGAGCTGACACCCTACCACGAGCCACCACCCCCACCGAGAAGAAAGGCCGCCACCGGACATTGTGGATGATCACGAGGAGTGGGAGGTTGAGGAGATCATGAAGAAGCGGAAGCGCGGTCGTGGTTGGCAGTATCTGGTGAAGTGGAAGGGATACCCGCATAGCGAGGATACATGGGAGACGGCGCAAAGGCTTGAGAACTCTCAAGAATTGTTAGACGAGTTCAACCAGAAGAACCCAGTGGTCAAGACCCGTAGTGTGCCTGTCCTTGCCCAGGGTCATTGGGATTACCTGGTCAAACGTTATAAGCCAACACAAGAGAAGCTCCCATATCCGTCCCGGAAACTCTTTAATTATCAGACTGGCCATTTTGTGGAGGCTGAAGGGGGGGGTGGATGATGAACGCGCTTTAATGCCCTCTGTCGACGAGGACGTCGACCTTGAAGGGGGGGTAATGTCAAACCCTGGATTTAAAAACCCTTTTTCTTCGCCCTTTAAACCTTTTATTTTGGCCCTGGTTGATAAGATAAGACAAGGAGGAGATAAGATGGACGATAAGATGGTGATTAGATCATCAGATGTCGATGCTGATGTTGATTGACAGCGTGGAGTTGGACATGAGGCAAACAGCACGTAAAGGCATGGCTAAAGTATGACGTCATTGCCTCTCGTATTAGGCATGGTAAACACATGGTAGTAGTGTATATAAGTAGAGTAGATTTCGTCTTGTACCCCAGTCTTCGAATTGCATCATCTTTACGATATCTTTTCACGGTGCTTCTTGCTTGCCTTCACTGGCCAACTGGCATCCTCTGAATTGGTGTTGTTTGTGACAAAAATTTATGGATTGATCAGTTTGCCCCAGATGATAATTTATTGTGACCTTCTAAAGAACCTGGGTGAAATTTGTGTTTATATATTTAACATAATAATATTTTCCTCAATTTAAATACTGACTTTGGGGTAACATTTCACATAGAAATTTACGTTTGGATTATTAGCTTTTTTAAAAGTTCAACTGTTGTCATGAATTTTATTATTGCTCATTAATTACATATAGCCTTGGATTGGATGGGCCACTAGGGACTCTGTGAGGGCTCAAGTCCTATATATTAATCATAGGTTAAGTGTATTTTAATGAATTTAACTGGAAATTTGAATTTTATCACTACTCTTCATTGCATCATCGAGTCACATTGATGAGCAATCATGGGAATATATTACCCAATATGGGTCCTGTAAGGCCCTTGAAAACTTTTCGACAGTATATCCATTTTTCGAATCTGTCAGGGGAACCTCCCTTTCGGCCCGGAGACGTGCCCGATTCCGGTCCGATTCCGGTTCCGACTCCGGTCCGGCCCTCCATCTCGCCCGCACAATCACCGATCCGTCAACGCCCTCCCAACGGTCGCCCTGGGACCTCGCCTGCGACGCCGCCCCAAGCCTTCTATGCCCGACAGTGGCAGCTACGGACAAGCAGTATATAGTCAGCTCCCTAGCAGGCGGACCCTTAGAGTTTCTTCTCTTTGGATCCTCCCCTGCTAGGACCTTGATCTCAGGCCTCCGGGGTTGCCCTTACAGAATCATGACACCCCCCCTGGCAATGGTGAGCCACTTTGGCTTGCGGCCTGCTGCTCTCGTATTATACCAACTATCTACTTTCCTTACGTCTCCTGACCATGCGTCCGGACAATATCCACTCGTTTCTTGTATATATTTTGAATTCAATGATCCTACTAGTATGTATTACTGGCGTCGGGTGCTTGGCGTATGCCCGTCGGATCGGCGTCCAACTTGAAGTCGTTTCGCAGCGACTGGCGGGTCGCCTGAGCTTAAGTGCGCCGGGCGTGATCCGGTCAGTATACTGCCCGGGCCGACGGGACACAGACTCAGTCGGGCCCGAGATCGGGCTGGGCCGGGCAGCCCATGTTGTTGCTTTCTTGTGCCATGCGGTACAAGCGCTGGTAGCGAAGGTATCGGAACGGACTTTGTTGTGGTTAACCCAGGGGTCGCCTGAGCTTACTAGTAAGCTTAAGTGCGCCCGGCGTGATCCGGTATACGGCCCGGGTCGATGGGACACAGTCGAGCCCGATATCGGGCAGCGGTACAAGGGCTGTTAGCAAAGGTATCGGAACGGACTTTGTTGTGGTTAATCCAGGGGGAATCCTACTTGAATCAGGCATGTGCATCAGGCATGCGCTGTCCCCTCGACGAATCGCGGAGTTGCCAACGCAGATATATATCGATACCTGGATTAGACGAGCAGTGATCAAAAAGAGGGCCGGTCCCAAGGCCGGGGATCCATATGAGGGTCCGATCGTCCGACGTCGGGTGAGCCTGCGGCACATGAGTTCGGGCACGACGGGCGCTGCCGAGCCAGGGCCTGCTGGGCTGCGTGCACGTACTTATAAAGCCGCATAAACGGTTCGATCGTCGGTCGTCCCGACAGCCCTGTAGGTCCGCGCCATTCCCTTCATCATTACTCCGCCGCGCTGACGTCGTCCACAGCCGTAATACGGCGATCATGATCACTATGCAAATCACCACCTTCGTCGCCTTCACGCTCCTCGCCGTCTCCGCGGCCAGCGCCCGCCCCGCGCCCGCGCCCGCCCCGGAGCCGCGCGTGCCGCAGCGCCGCGTGCAGTGGCACGACGGGCGCGGACTGCACCAGGCGCGTGGCCGGGACGCGGGACAACACGGGCGACGGGCGGTGCGGGTACATGACCTTCGGCGGGACCGCGCGCAGCTTCTCCTGGACGGGTGCGCGACGCACGGCATCGAGTTCTTCGTCTCCGGCGGGAGCCAGGAGATGTGCAGCTGGGCGCGCGCCCGCGGGCGCCGGCGGACGCGGCAGGGTGTTTATGGAGGAGGCCGGATGCGCGACCGCGCCGCCTGGGTGAGGAGCTGCTTGTTGTGTGTTGCGATCGGGGCTGAGGTGTTTGCAGATTTAACTGGCAGAGCTACCTGTACTTGTCGCCGGCATGAGGGAGCTGTGATTGGCCTGTTTACAATATTCCACACGCCTGTAAGATTCAATTTTTTGAATTAGAGATTATCAGCAGCGGAGTTTTCCCAAATTGTAAACACAATTTATGCAAATAATTTCAAAATTTGAGCTGCTTGAGTCAACAAAAATTGGGGGGGGGGAAATCCCAATTTTCTGTGGCCGGCCGCGATACGATAACGTGACTGAGGTTGGCCGGCCTCAAAAGCGAAGTACATATCTTTTGTCTCACAGCCTCTTTCTACAACTCTCCCATGCCCCCAATCCGCCAAAAGCTTTTACACTATATGCTCCTCAGCCAGACATTACGGTAGGCCGGATCGATTTGGTTCGATTTCAAGTCGGTGACTGGGTGACTCGGTGGCGCTGGGTTCGAACCTTGACCAAGTAATATGTATAAGGCTGGTATAAAAATAAGTGGTACTGCACCCAAATAGCTACTGCTTCTATTTACTCCATGGCAGGCCACGTATCCTGTCCCAATGCATCCATTTTGTCAGACATCTGCACAAAAACAGTCCAACTACTTTCCAGTGTGAGAGTGGGCCGCTCTATCATCTCGTAGATGGTCCGCGCAAATGTGTCGAATTCAGGTGTCACCCAGGAGAGATGCTGCTCTCGAGGACCAACCTCAGCTGACAACACCTCTCGGATATCCTCAACCGTTGAGGCAGGAACCTTGATGAAGCAGTTAATACCTCCAAACAGCTGAGGATACTCAGCTGCGTCAGAAGGAATGTGACCAGAGGGCATTATCTTCTCGGGCTGAAACCGAATTTTGTGAGAATTCCAGTACTGGCGGAACTCATCAAGCTCAGCTTGGATGAGCGGTGGAAACAACCAGTTAAATAAGTGGCTGCAGGATTTGTCAGAAAGCTCAGTGACTGTAAATACGGTACCTGTGAAGTATTGATCCCTCATCGAATATGTGCTCATTTTTGCCACGGAGTACATGTTCTCGGAGAGACAAACCACGCTTGACTTTAAGCCACCGCCAAAATGCCTCGATAATGGTATTATGCACACTTTTCACACATGCATGAGGAGGATAAATATCCAAGTCAATGTTTGGTGCAAATGTTTCACTGGATTCATCAATGAACTTGGGACATATTGTGAAATGTTGACGTACCGTAGGCAATCCTGGATTGCTAGCATCCATCCTATCTCTGAGCCTTTATCAACGGTCATTTGCATGCCAATTCCTGACAGATTATAAGTGCTGAATTGTGGGTTTGATTCTTTTTACCGCCATTCTCAGCTACGAAGTCCAGGAACAAATGTCCTATGGCAGCATTTGTTCGGTCGTTTGGAATAACATTGATCTTGAGGAGTTGCGCAGTCCACTTATCCTTGAAAGCATATATTGGGAGACCAACACCTCCCATCTGTAGTGCCTGTGCCCCCAACTTCTCGTGCCCATCTGATGATATTTCGTGATATGGTCCAAGAGCAGAAAGCGGGGTGCGGAAAACCTGGGACTTCTTTCGTCCAGGATAGCGGATGTCTGGCCCAGATGGGAACTCCTGTTGCATGACACGGCGTATTGTATTACTGCCATCTTGTGGTCAGCAACGGTGTCCCACGAAGAATCTGTCAGCGCTCTTACCGTGGAACCAAGATGAGCTTTTGTTGAAGCTGTGTTTTCACATAGTTTGGGCCGTTGTTCTGAGCTATATCCTTCTCAACCTCGTCGATCACTGCTTGGACTGCAACTTCCTGGGAGGGTCGATTACGACGGACAGATGGTATTTCAAGACGGCGCTCTATCTTGTTCAGTGTTGCCACACTATGGCTTCCTTGAGCTTGCCTCTTTGCAGTTCAAGTATTGAACAAACCTGATCTCAAGCTGGTGGTCTTCAACGAGCCGAGCCAGCTTTTCCTTCTGCTTGAGTCCACGGCGGACATACTTGAGTAACGTTTCTTGAAGGACATCATCTGGTGGATCTGCTGAGATATTACTCTGATTTCAAGCTGTGAATCTGTGCCGAAACCTACATTGCTTGGTACCAGACCCATTTATGCCAGATAGATTAGGCATTGAATCAAAGTGGGTCCGTGACTTGCAGTCACATTTTTGTTCGTCTTGACTCGGACTCTCTTATGTCCTTGGAAAACGCAAACATGTGCAACGACTGTGGTCTTGACTTTCCTCTTCGTGAGGGAAGTGGCCTCTGCCCTAAGTGTGTCAAGCTTCAGGACCATGACAGGGAGTCGCCACAATACAAGGACATTCAGGTAAAATTTTTCATTGTCAGCCATGGTCAACTTATAATTCTGCTCTAGAAGTGGCCACAATGTCATCTCTGTGGTATTACACGGCGTAACATGCCTCCAGCCCAGGGAGGCCGCCAAACCTGCAATACTCCAGCATGTAACCGGAAGCCCCTGGTGCCACTGTCCGGTATATTATATCTATCCTACGCCTCCAACATCATGCTTACTTTGTGGACAGACAACTACAACCCTGGAACTGGTGGTTCTGGAGCATCGGAACTCCAGCTGCACCGCCAGCAACTTATCATGGGAGCGCATGAAAAAGAGTGGCACAAATGCTGCAAATGGAACTAACCTACAGACTTCAGATCTCTTAAATCATGAGCATGGTGGTGGATTGCCTGGCGAGCGACAAATGGGTGTTGGGTATCAGGTATACTGCTTTCCTCTTCATGAAGTCATTTGTGTTCTCATATCTAATACAGGTCCGCGTCAAGAAAAAAACATCTGCAAAAATTGATCAATCACTGGGCTGGGGTGCGCGGAACTGGGTGGTCTCTACATTTGTCCCAGGTACAGTCACTCTTATTCGTTACTCACTACTAAAACCATGTAGATCTAAAAGTGCACTATCTGGATATGCTAAACCTCGAATGGGTTCGCACTCATAGCCAGCCAATCAGAGAGCAAGTTCTCTTGTTTTTATGTACTGCATGCTGATAAAACCTATAGAGAGGAGGTCTCCTTGCGTTTCTATGGTGGACAGACACTGCAAGACAGTACTGGTACCATGACATTGGAGGACTGCTTCAGACATTACTCGTCACCTTCGATCAAGCCATTCACACTTGACATGATCAAAGCACCTTGGGCACTGCAAATGAAGTCCCGAAAACCTTTTATCGCATTTGAATTACTTGTGGATGAAGCTATGGTCAGTGTGATTATATATGTTTTACCCATCTATCTTACCGTTTAGTACGATGAACGGATCAAGAGGGACAATGATCTTGACGACGGCGGAGACCTTGATAACCTTATCAAAGGCACAATCGATGATACTCACCGCAAACGGGCGCGCACCAATTCCACCTTCTCGCAGTTTTCCGAAAGTCGACCAGCAAAGCAAGCACGTTGTAAGTCATATCTGAGTTGACAGATAGGATAAACTGACTTGTACGAATAACAGCATCTGTGCCAGTTTCCCAGTTTGGATTGCCTTCCCGCCCAATTGCCCTCCAAGTCCAGAAACAAGCTCCAGTCACTTTCCGCAAGATTGTTTGTATCACTGGTGCTGTCGACGGACGTTCAACACTTATTGATACTGGCGAAAAAGTGAAAGGTTATATACAAGATAAGGAATTTGCCCGGGGCCAGATGAAACAAGCTCACGATGTACGTTGCACGTTGGAGGCATAGAATGAACTGACACTATTTGGCAGCTCATTCTTGAGGATGGTACCTCTCATGTTGCCAAGCGTTTTTACCGTGTCCGCGAGGATGACCTGTCGGTCTCCATTGAAGATAATAACACTGAGATTGGGTTAGAAATTACCCGCCAGAGTCGACTCAAATGGTGCCTGGACGCATTCTATCGCTTCCACAACACTCATGGAGGACGAGACGAAATTGCCATCTACCTCAGTAATTGTTTCCGGTCACTGGATTCGTGTTGTTGTTGAACAACCCATAGATTTCGGGGTTGCAAACGCATTCATTGCAAAAGAAATTGGTTCACCCTCCAAGGCTTCAGGCGATCTTACCACTGAAAAATATGTTGACGATGAGGGAATTGAATGGCTTGTGGAGGAGAAACGGGCAAAGACAGTCACCAAGTTTACCGGCACTCGCACTCATGTCCAGCTACGCGATGACCTCCCCTCCGCAACTCTTTCAGCCCTTACGCACTTTGCCTATGGATTTTGCAACCGCAACCTTGTTTTTGCAGACCTCCAAGGTAATCATCTATCTATCCGCCTTGACCATTAACCTACAAGTAGTCCAGCTACCCCTGCCCAAGTTCGAGGAAAAGACGGTCTTGTCCTGTTCGATGTCATGACCCATACTATGAATGTGTACGTCTAACTCACCTAGTATATGGAGATGCTAATGCAAAACAGTGGCTCTGGAGTTGGTGACTGCGGCGAAAAGGGAATCCAGTCATTCGTCTAGCAGCATAAGTGTAACCAGATCTGCACGCGTCTCGGCCTCCACATCCACGACAACTATCGTCTGGACCCAGTGAACGGTGAGGACGATGATATTGAAGTCCATGATTAGACCTGTTCATACAATTAGCATTAAGTAGCTTCTTCTAATATAAAACTGGCCTTGTCCAAAGCCAATAGGTCCAGGTCTTGCAGCTGAGTCACCAGCAGCTCAGCGGTGGTAAGAAGAGGCATGGTGGCAGGAGAATGACAGGTGGCAGCGATGAGGCATCCCGCGGGACCAAATCATCAGCCAATCATAGAGCGAGAAAGTCCGACACCCTTGCCTTCCCGGTCACATGACATCTGGGAAGCTCAATGCTGGGACTTTTACAGCCATACTGGCTGCACCTAAAATCATGAAAAAATTAGGGAGGATATGCTAACTATATCTTATCTCAGTGGCACAGTTTCAGAAGATTCAAGCTCCTTTGGAATAAAATCTCAATTCACCGCTTGAACCTGACTTTCACAACCATTCCTCTGTTTTCGTGCAGATGTCTGACAAAATAGATGCATTGGGACGGAATACATGGCCTGCCATGGAGTAAATAGAAGCAGTAGCTATTTGGGTGCAGTACCACTTATTTTTATACCAGCCTTATACATATTACTTGGTCAAGGTTCGAACCCAGCGCCACCGAGTCACCCAGTCACCGACTTGAAATCGAACCAAATCGATCCGGCCTACCGTACAGACATTAGGGCTCGATGGTTGTCAGAGTCTGTGATGTCGATAACAGTATGAACGGAGTGGGTGTCGCTCTCTGATTCGTCGTCACTCGAGAGGCTGATTGCGGGCTTGCCGAGGGTTTGCATCGACACCTTCTGGATCTCTTCACCACTGTTCTTGGCCTCGTCATTCTTCTATAGCAATAAGCCAGCAAAGGAACAACATGATAGTGAACAAATATATATATATATATATATATTCACAACTTGGAACAATAATAAATAAACTCCAGGAAAATATACTTGAATTGGGACATATATTAAGTCATCAGATTGGACTGAACTCAGAGCCAAATCTTGTGGCAATGATTTGCCACAAATAAATGCACCAAATATGTTACAAGATACCATTTATATCAAAAATCCTGGCCAGCACCAAAATGTACCTAATAGGTCAACCAGTGTGAATCCACAGCTATAGTTCCCGGGTGTGCTTAAGTTATCTGTGGAAATCTCATGGCAGAGTAGCTGTCAAGAGGGCTGTGTGACAAATTGCCATTATATATGACAAATCACCCTTATATATGACAAATTGGGGTAATAATAATGTCATACTATTTCTTTGCCACATATTTGGGCTTGAATAATGTGCACTTACTGTTTACGAAAAATGGTTTGGAATGGGGTAGTTATTATGTATGTGATACTTGATACCATGATATGGAACCTGTCACGGATAAGACCCGGCCCGTCTGCTCCGGCGCTGGTGTCGGGCCATCGCGGGCCCGTAACACGCAGCACGTGATGACGGGGAACATGCGCCCCAGTAGGAGGAACGCACACGTGGGAAGCACGTGACCGAGAACGACGCGTCGAGCCGTCGCCGAGCCCAACTCGACACAAGGGGACTGGGGAGGAGTGCTAGGAGGTTAGGAGTAGCGCCTGGCCCGCAAGGGATGTACGATCGTCCCCTCTGCGGCCAGGAACGGGAGCGAGGAGGAGGAGTAGAGGCCAGGGTGTCCGATCACCCCTTTGCGGGCCCGCGTATATAAGGCGCGATAGTGTACCCTGTACTCTATCGCTTAGATCGTCTAAAGAACTACCTTACTCCGTGCAAGGAGGCGTTGTCGACTCATCGGGCCCGACACGACCCGATTCAAACCTTCGACCACCGACCACGGCAAGGGACCGAGTTCACGGGCCCTTTCGGTTTCGATCTACCCCGCCCGCCACACTTGCGGGCCCAACTATCCGTCTGTTCTGTTCCGGGCGCGCGTTCTTAGGAGAGGTTCTTGCACGGCCCGACCCGCAGTCTGACAGAATCTAAGCGATCCCCTTACGCCCGCACAACAGAACACACGAGAGGGCGACACGGTTTATTGCAAAAAGTCCAAGGAAAAAAAAAAAAAAGGTACAAAATAATAAAATACAAAAAAAAAACCCCCGCCGGCTACGCCCGGCCTTTTCCCTTTCGACCCGCCGAAGGACCGACGGGGGAGAACGTCGTGATCCCGACCCAGGCCGAGTACCCCCAGGAACGGGGCCCGAGCGACCGGCCTGGCGACGATCCGCGACAGCCCTCTGTTCCCACAAACCGAGCCGGGTCGATCCCGAGTCATCGACGGCCCCGAAGACACTCATCACCCGAGTATACAGCTCCACCATCTGAGCCGCGGAGAACTGGTGACCCAGGCAATCCATCAATTCGAAATCCGCCGGCTGCATCAACATGCGAGTCTCGGACCGGATCGAACGGAAGACACCGAGGAATAGAGGATTGTCCTGGGGCCGGGTGAGCAACTGGTGCAGAAGCGTCACCCCCACAGCGGAGAACCGGCACGACTGGGCCACATCCGGGTCGTCCAACAAGCGGTGCGCCTCGGCAGCGGCTCGAACCGGCGATGGCTCGCCGAACCAGAGCAGCACGTCCGGGTAATCCTCCGGGCGGAAAGGCATATCCCCCATCGTTGAGGGGCCCACACGACCGGAATTTGTTCCCGCTTCGGGGCGGCCCGCGTCCCCTACGCGGCCCAGTGGGTGGGGGACGGATCGGGGTGACCGGCGCGGAACGGGGGGGTGTGGGAGATCGCGCGTGAGGAGGCAGCGCTGGCCAACGGATCGGAGAGGCCGATCGCCGAGGAGGAGGAGAGCGGGAGCGCCCGACACGACGGCCCAGTTCGGGGATCCCGTGACCGGGCCCGGGGGCGTCGCGGAGACGGTTGACGGCCCGCATGCCGGTTCCGAACGTTGGGACGGGTAGAGTGCCCCTTGTCCTCCGAACGACGCCAATGCTGCGCCCGGAGCGTATTGGAGCGGGGTAGAAAACGGAAGCAAAAACGTCGATAGAGGAAATTCTCCGACACCGCTTGAAGGTCCGCAAACCGCGAATCCATCTCCAACAGAGCATACACGTGTGACGGAAGCTGACTAAGGTGCCGCCACACGGATCACAAGGGCGCAAGAACAGGCGTAAAGGTATTTCTCCCCGAACACTAAATTACTACATTGTTTATATACTACTGAAAAAGAATGACATCATTGGAGCAATGATCAGCACCAACGCGCTCAGATATCACAAGGAGACACTTATCAGATCACTACACTGGAGCGGCGGCGGAGATCCGCTCCGGTCCGCTACATGCGCCCTCCAGATAGTCTTCAGAGACTATCTCACAAGTTAGAAAATCATTTGAATTGTTCCGGTTCGCGTTCGAATCGTGCGCGAACGTGATCTTCATCTGACGTGAGATCCACGTGATCAGATCGAAGCTTGTCTCTAACAGCCATGTCGTCGGCACTTCGACTTGAAGCTCGCGCTCGGAGTGGATAATGGCGAGTGAGCTCTCATATCTTTGAATGAGGAACTGACTCTGGCATGTTCCGCCCTCCAGCACGGTGCCAAAGGCTGTGTCAAGCAGATTCTGCGCTCCAATGAGGAGCGCATCTCCCAGCGGCGCTGCCTATCTGGGGTCTTCGGCAACTGTCTGGGTCGACAAGCCAAGCGATTCTGCGCGTAAAATCGCGTACCAACGGGCCAACCGAAAGTCTGGGTCTTCAAGGCAATCCGAGGCAATGAATGCACGGTCTCGCGTCGCGCTATCTTGCACAACGTAGGTCTGGTCGGAGATTCGATGGACAACGAATCTAACCTCGTTTCCCAGATGTTCTTCATCGCCTGGGTAGGGCTGGGCACGAGTCAACGCTCGAGCCGCGTTCGCGGCGAGTAAATCGCCAATTGGGTGTCTACGTGCGTGTTCGGCGCCGAAAAAGTCGAAATTTTCATCGTTCAAAGGCTGGGTGGACTCCCCGCCCTCCTCGACTTTCATTCGAGCGCCTTCGGTTGCGTTTCGAAGGTAGCTGCGCGATAATTCGCGGGTTACCGGCTGGACGACGCCCAAATCGAGTGCTCCAACAGGGAGCGTCTCCAACACCTCGGTGCTTTCGTACAGCGCCGAGGCGTGCTCATCGAAGTCAACGCCATGCGCTGCAAAGCCTGGCGGTTTCCCTTTGACGTTCGACTTCATAGTCGTCGTTTCTGGGCAATTTCTGGAGAGGTGTCCGTGCTCTCCGCAGGTGAAGCACAGGCCCTTCGCCAGCATCTCATTGCGGCGCTTCAGCGACATTCTGGGTCGCTCCGAGGGGTCTTTCGCTGAGGTGATCTCAGCGGACGCTGTTCGCATCGACGACTGCGCTTTTGCGCGCTCGCCACTGCGGCGGGAATCGTCTTTCGACTTGGAATCAGGCTCACGCCCTCCGGAACCGCGTCTGGGCGGTTTCTCGTCTCCAGAGGACGCGGAATCGTCAGATTCCGAGTTGGAATCATCTGAGCTGAGGCTCAATAGCATCTCCGCTCGTTCTGCGGCATGAACGACTTCGTCCCATGTCGAGACCTCCGGATCGAGGTCCTTTCGGTACATCTCCTGGCGAATTTCGGCGCGAAAGCTGTTCCACAGCTTTACGACTTTCTCTTGGTCGTCAACAAGGCCAATCGTGTTGTACAACTGCGCGAACGTTGCAATATGGGAGGCAACTGTGTTTTTGCCTTGGGTGCAGCGGTTCAAACGCTTCCGCTGCTTACTCCGGAAATCAATCGGGAAGCAAAACTCGAACATGGCCACGAAAAATGCCGTCAATTGGTACGAGTCTTCGTTTTGCACGACTATTTGATTATAAAAATCTCTAGCCTTCCCTTCCAAGAAGTAAGACAAGATAAACACCCGGTTTTCACGAGGTACGCGTCCCATTTTCACATATGCGGTTCCTTCGCGAACGAAGCGATGGAACGCAGTTGCGCTTGGTTCACCATTATATTTTGTAGGTGGGATCGGCTTCAAGAGCATCCGGTGCCGCGAGTGGGGACCAGTGCTAGTGCCAGCCGGCACACGGGAATGGGGAACCAAGGTCCGTCCCTCGTCCGCTTCCGAGTCCGATCCGCTTGACGAATTGTACTGACGATGATCAGCAGAACTCGAGGAGCTGGAGTCGGATGGGTCGGACGATGGAGGGTCATGGCGGCGCCGAGTACGCGGCGTGCCATGGATGGCGTTGTGAACGAAGCTGCCGGCGGCTATTCGGGGTGTCGCCTCTCTCGCCCGAGAGCGCGACTTTGCCGCGGCAGCACCACGGATCATGTGGTCAAGGTTCTTCTCAACCGTGAGCTTTGCTTTGCTCGGCGGTTGTCGTGGTAAGTGCAGTTCGTTTTCCGATTGCTTCAATCGTCTCAGTTTATCTTCTAACTGAGCAATCTTTTCAGATCGCGCCTGGCCAGGCAATTTTGGATCTTGGGGGCGGCGGTCTTTCAACCGCCGTTCTGAAGCAACCTCTGCACGTCGCAGGGGTTCGTCCTCGTCACGAGGCATCGTCGGCTTCGAGTGCCGATAGTCGGGGGTCTTATCACGAGCTGGGGACACTCGCTCGAGCTTAATTGCATGCTGAACTTCGTAGTTCGAGAGTGCAGCCTTCTGGGCTTCAAGCTCATCGTCGTCAAAGTCCAGCAAGGACTCGACAGCGCCCCAGTTCTTAGGGTCGGCGCCTTTCCCCTTGTTGCGGGAAGGGCCTTCGCCAGTCGGAATGGCGGGACTCACGCGGAAATGGATCAAGTCATCAGGTGAGCTGTGTCTCGCTTCACCATCTTCAATATCTGACTGCTTCTCAGCATTTCGATCTGAGTCGTCGTCGTTCAGACGACTACCAACTGGCTCAGGGATCGGCTCATCGTCAGATGGCAGCGAGGCAGCACTCAGCGCTTCACGCGCTATAGCCTCATGCCGACGAGCTAGTTGTCGTCACTGCTCTCGACTCATTCCGCGCATCGCGCGCCTCACGGTGGACTCGGACTCAAATTCCGCTTTACTACTAGTACGATTGGTATCGACACGATGCTGACTACGTGGCGACGACGACCGCGAACGGTGCGACCGTGCGTTACGAGGAGTAACACGAGTCCAATCTGGGACATCGTGTGTGGCGGAGCCGGAGTGCCCGGAAGGCCGGACCGAAGTCCGCGTCTCGAAGAGACGGCAGCTCAGAGAGCTGAGCGCTAGAAGCGCGCCGCTCGAAAGCGGGGGTGTCACCGCCAGCGACCACGCGGCTGTAAGACAGTGCGGGACTGACGGGACGGGAGGTCGGAGTGGAGGAGCGCGAGGTCGGAGGGGTGTCGCGGGGGATGTTCGGCGCGGGAAAGCGCCCAGCGCGTGTCGCGGCACGGGTCGGGTAGCCAGAGGAAGTCATCGTTGGGTTGTGGAGAGAGTTGGTTATCAGCGCAGAGCGGCAGCAATGGTGGTGTCGACCGAGGTAGCCAGACAGAGCGTAGATAGATGAGCGAGCTGTTCAAAATATGATGTAACAATTCCAACAGCCAATGAAAATGGAACATGCGGGAGTCGCACCCGCTACCGGTCCGCTAGTCTGTCCCATCATTGCTGCGATTTTACTCTGTCATCACGCTGTAAGCGGTCACACAACTCTTACATCCTGGTCGTCGACGTCGAGCATAATGACGTCGGGCGCCAGTGGCGAGGAACGGGGATGGAAGGAGAGGGCCGGAGCCCAGACGTCGTCCTCAGGCAAACCTACCGGGGCCCGATGTCGGATCACCCCCGGCCCGGGTGGTAGTAGTCCGGCACCGACCACAGACCCCAACTCCTCAACGACTTGCGCATCCGGGAAAACCATTTCGGGAGCGTCCTGACGAACAACCAGGGGTGGGGAAGGCTCCGTGCCAGGATCCAACCACTCCGCCCAGCGCTCCGCCATACCCAGGAAAGAGAAAATGGTCCCCAGTTCCGCCTCTTGAAGATTGCGGGCGCCCGCAAACGTCGCCGCATCGCGGGGGTCGGGACCTTCCCAGAATCGCACCCCAAACTCCAACACCGGGTCCCAAGCGAAGTAATGGGGAACGAGGAGGGGGCGGGGTTGCTGCAAATGATGAAGGAGTAGCTCGGGACCGGTACGGGACGATGAAGGGAACACGCGACCCACGCAGTCCAGGGCCAGATTCCAGAGGCCGCGGGACAAGAAGACGGGGAGGCCCGCCAAAGACAACGAGAAAACAAAACGAATGACCTCGCACTGCCAAAGGGCTTAGTGAACACGAAAGGAGAGCGGCGGCCGAGTACGCACGAGGATGGGCCATAGGTCCTCGAACGCCTCTCGGTCCGCCCCGTCCTCCTCACACGGCGCCAAAGCAACGACAAACTGACGAGCGAGGCCGGCCAAGTACTCGCGCGCAGGTTGGAGGGGCCGCCGGACCCGCGACCAGGGTAATTCCACCGACAAGACGATTCGTAAGCATCAAAAAGGACGCCGAAGAAGCGGTCGCGAGGACCGAATATGGAAGGGCGCCAGAGGGCAGCTGCCATGGCCACGTCAAAGGACGCTTGCACCCAATCCCAGAGACTGGTACTGGGAGGGCGGACGAGGGGAGGGCGATGGAGACGGGAAAACCGATATGCAGGATCCCGAAAGTACCCGCGGGAGAAGCGGGGGGGGCACGAGAATGGTGGAGACGAGGGTGACGCGTGAAGTGGGTCCGGACGAAAACGCGCGAAAGGTCGACCCCATGCACGGGGAGGCGGATGACCTGACGAGCGGGAAGGTCCGCCAAATCGACAAGGCCCGACTGTTGGACGGGGAACGAAGAATGGTTGGGGTCGCTGGTTGGGGCAAACGACGGGAAGGCCAGGGCGTCCAAAAAGAGAAAGTGCTCCAAGAGTAAACCAGGCGTTACCTGTAACGGCGGGACAGCGCTGGAGTACAGCGGCAGTGTTTCGTCGACGAAGGAATAGTGGGGGGCCATGACGGGGAGACAACGAAAAACGGAGGGAAAAGGAGAATTGACGCAGCCTATATATGGCCCGAAACAGGGAATATTCCATATGGAAACCCTCGCAAAAAGGAGGGCGAAGTGAGACACCCCGAGGACGCCCGGAATAGCAAGAAGAGGACAAAGGAGGCGAAATATATTGTCAACACGAAACGCAGTACCGCACGTGACCGCGGTGAAACACTTGATGGACAGGAAGAATCGATCTGCGGACGCCACGAGGCAACAGAAGCCGCGGGAGATTAAAATGCGCAGCCGACGCTTAGCTTAAGCTTATGGGCTGGATGGAATATGCGATTGGAAGGACGAGCTAAACTCAAATTAACCCGAGAAACCGGGGCGACCGAGCCATGCCGACTCGAGACGAGTTGTTCCTAGGGGAGGGGGTGATGTCACGGATAAGACCCGGCCCGTCTGCTCCGGCGCTGGTGTCGGGCCATCGCGGGCCCGTAACATGCAGCACGTGACGACGGGGAACATGCGCCCCAGTAGGAGGAGAACACACATGGGAAGCACGTGACCGAGAACGACGTCGAGCCGTCGCCGAGCCCAACTTCGACACAAGGGGACTGGGGAGGAGTGCTAGGAGGTTAGGAGTAGCGCCTGGCCCGCAAGGGATGTACGATCGTCCCCTCTGCGGCCAGGAACGGGAGCGAGGAGGAGGAGTAGAGGCCAGGGTGTCCGATCACCCCTTTGCGGGCCAGCGATATATAAGGCGCGATAGTGTACCCTGTACTCTATCGCTTAGATCGTCTAAAGAACTACCTTACTCCGTGCAAGGAGGCGTTGTCGACTCATCGGGCCCGACACGACCCGATTCAAACCTTCGACCACCGACCACGGCAAGGGACCGAGTTCACGGGCCCTTTCGGTTTCGATCTACCCCGCCCGCCGCACTTGTGGGCCCGACTATCCGTCTATTCTGTTCCGGGCGCGCGTTCTTAGGAGAGGTTCTTGCACGGCCCGACCCGCAGTCTGACAGAACCTGATTTCTTGTAAATTAGATACAATTTTTGCAGCTTTTATTGGATATCAATCAAAGCAGCAACAAAGGCCATTGTTTTGGACTATTATTTCCGATATATAAATCCTGCTTAGGGGACCATGTTTTGGCTGAAACTCCGGTGTGATTGGTAACCAATCGGATCACTCATCAACATCATTTCCTGTTGCTATGGCTCAATATGGTCTGTTACTGATGGTGACACTGTTGTGCCATGATCCTGCCCTTTGCGTGCAACTTCTCTGCCACTATGTATCTGACGACTCCTGGGAGTAGTTGGAGTAGTGCTTTAATGATATATGTCTATATATAAATATATGCTCAGCCATTTCATGCCAGTACCTCTTCAAAAGAGTATGGCGCGCGGCGGCCGAGGTTTTCCACCCGGGACCACCCCGGACCCTGACCAGGGTGGACCCACCCTCCTGGGGGCTTTGCTCGCTGTGTGGCCCACTGCGCGGAACTTTTGTTCTTCGTTTTTATGACACACAAGTACTTTTGACTCAGTTGCGGCCATCGCAGCTGGGGTTTATACTACCACGGGCTGCTGAGGCCTGCTGTGCAGAGCTAAGAATTGATCTCCGTTGTCATTGAATGATGATGATTTAATGATCAACAATGATGATTTAATCATCAACATCATCAACGAATCCCACTGGCACATGCTCAGTCCCACAAATCGGGTAGGAGCAGGACTGGCATGAGACCCACTCCAACCATTCTCATGTACCCTCTCTTCAAAAGCAGGTCTTAAATAGCTCCCCTCAGTGTGCTATGTGGATTCCTATCACATACCTATCCTTTTTGATCTGATCATCACCCTCATAATAACCCGACTTGCCACTGTTCCTATTAAATGTCTTAGGGCTGTAGACTGTACAGCTACAGTACGGTACAGTGGCTGACAGGTCCAGGACAGGGACATGCCGTACGGTAAGACCCCCGAAGGAGGCGCTTACAGTTTATAATATATTATGCTGCAGCTATAATATAATAATAGTCAGCACTAATGTATCACACAAAGACTAGGTTGGCTTTTCAAGTGATATTATTATGTGGGTTAGGTGAAAAAAAAAAGGACTTTCCCAAGCTTTTAGAAAAATAAAATTAAGTATTATGACATGAATAGAATTATCAAACTTTTCTGTTGAGGATGATACAGTTGACTTTTTTTTCATCCAATTATGGATATTGATTGTTAACCATTTGTTCATTAACACTTTCCCTGAGTTCTGTGGTTGATAGGATAAGATCAGAAGACCCTTTACACAAAAGCACTAGGCATCAAAAATACTTCACATCCAGGGACAAGGAGAGTGAAAATCCAGAGCACGGGCCCCGGTCAAATCGAAGTAACTGAATGCACTAGACAAGCGTCTGGTGTATATACTTATCCTAGCTGCTGGAATCCTTCCTTCCTTACCTATGGTCAAATCACAAATTCCCTCCAAACTCAGCAAAACATCTTACACCTTCCCATAAACCACCGCACCGTCAATCACCGTCGCCAACGTCTTGGTCATCAAAATTTCCTCTGCCGGTATCTCCATGATGTTTTTCGAGAGCACGACGAAGTCCGCACGCTTGCCGACCTCGAGCGAGCCGAGATCGCTCTCGGTGAAAGACGCGTATGCCGGGTCGATTGTGATCCCCCGCAGCGCCTCGACGCGGGTCAGCCGCTCTTCAGGGAACCTAACAAAGAAAGCATTAGAATGTCCAAATGTAGGAAGCGCCCGTGTCTCACCAGCCGCCCGGTCCGTGCGGCGACTTTCCGTCGAGCGAGATGCGTGTTATCGCCGCATAAAATCCGGCCAAGGGATTCATCGTTTCAACCGGGAAATCTGAGCCCAGTGTAAGTCTCGCCCCGCTGTCGATAATAGAGCGGAAGGCATAAAGGCCTTTGACCCGCTCGGGGCCCTAGAGCGATGTGAGCCTAGATGGAGGTAATGACAGTGGGAAAGGGACGCACGAGACGGTCCTGGGCATACCACATGTCGCTGATCCTGCTGAAGCGTGAGCCAGAGCTCAGAAATGAAGCAAGAATACGCACGCGTGTGTGGGCTGGACGCTGGCGATCACTTCACCAAGAAGTCAGCCACGAAAGCTGACAATAATTCATCGAACTCACCGCCCAGGCCCCCAAGACGTTTCATATCTTCCTTTGTCATAAGCTGTGCATGTTCCAAGCGCGGGCGGAGCACCGCTGGGTCGACTCCGGTTTTTTTTAGCGACTCGTCGAATGCATCGAGCACGATACCGTTCGCACGGTCCCCAATGGCGTGAACGTTCACCTGCCACCCGTCGCGCAGAAAACGGGGAATGAACTCGAAGAGCACGTCTGCGTCTAGCCGCATGAATCCACTCGTGCTTGGGTTGTCCGCATATGGTTCATAAAGCTGTATTGACGTGAGACAGGAACGTGGCCTGCGGTGGAAATACCCACTGCGGAGCCACCAGTGCGTAGAGCGCCTAAGGACGATAAGGCTAGATTGAACAATGCAATGAGAGAAGTGCCTGACCGTCTGCGAATATCTTGACGCTGCGCGAAGTGAGGCGTCCGTTAGCTTCTCCGATGAAAGGATGCGAGGTGTTGCCCCAATAGGGCGCCGTCTCATCGAAGAATCGCATTCCATAGATTCGAAGCTATCCGCAGGGAAAAAGAAGAGAGAGAAAGCAGAATATTAGGTTCAGGGGCGCGGGCAATGAGAAACGACATACCGGGAGCTCTCCACGCTCTGCCTGACGGAGGAAGAAGGCTAATGATGCCGGGTCCAGTCCAGCGTCGTGAATGGACGTCAGTCCATACGCCAACGCATCTTTCATGGCGACATTGAATCGTCCGATAAGGTCTTCTTCGGTGAGTTCTGGTGCCAGGAGAAGCTCCTGCGCGTTGTCGAGCAGGACACCTGTGTATGCATTGCGAATGAGCACTGCGTCATCACGGTGCAAGCCACGCACCGCTCGGCTTTCCCTTCTCGTCAGTCAAGATGATCCCGCCGTCGACTACTAAATCGGCGGGAAAGCGCGCCGTACTGAGCTCGAGCGCGCGTGACGACACCCAGAGGGCGTGGCAATCTTTGGATTGAAGGACGACAGGGCGCCCGCGAATAACCGGGTCAGCGTCCAAATGGCGCTGGAGAAACAAATCAGTATCATGAACTTCCAATCGACACGAGGCTAAAATAGGCCACGTGTTATCGTGGGCGCCTATCACGACAGATCCACAAGTTGTGGCAACGCCTGCACCCCGGGAAGAGATGAATGAAGGCGCGGGATGGATACTCGGAAAGGAAGTGGATCATGGGATGAGGTCGCATTGGCATGCCAGAAAAAGGGGAACAATGCGGAGTTGAACTCAAAACCACGGATGGAGCTAGATGGACAGATGAAAGGGAAAATTAAGACGCTTACCGCCGTCGGCCAGGCGGCGCCGGGCCACTGTGTGTGATCCCAGCCCCCACCGCGCACGAACGCATTGGTGTCATTCAAGATTGACGGAGTATTGAGAATATATTGTCGAACACGCGCAACAGTGTCTGTTGATTAAGAAGCACGACGTCAGCAAGACGCGGGATACCGATAGATAAGACACAGATACCCACCATCGATTGACGCCGTGCCTTCGAGGGGCAGCTGTCTGCTGGCACCATACTCCAGTATGTGTCCGTGTGAATCTGAGGGAAGGAATCAACGTTAATGACGCTCAAAATGGCCGAGTAAGCCGTACCACTCAGTCCGGGGAGTACGATGGCACCGGGCGGGACATACTTGACACTCAAGCCTTGAATTTTACGTGTCTCATCTGGGAAGTTTGTCAACGATTAGCTCAAGATAATGGACGAAGCGCCGACCGAGGGACAGAACTTTGGCAATACGAGAGTTATTAACGACGATGCAGTCAGCGAGCGAGTTGTGATCGTCGACGGTGTATACGTGGCCCGGCTCGGCGCAGACAGCGTAGAAGCCGGGGTTGGAAGGAGTGGACAGCCCACGCAAAACAGCAAGGAGCGATACGCCCACAGAAATCCCCAAGACCGTCCACGTTTTTCCAGAAACACTGTTGCTGGGTCCGCGCCGCGCGGGTGCGGGGTATGGGTGATCAGTCTTCGGGCTTCCTAGCTGGGAGTCGGACATGCTGCGGGGGGCAAAAGGGGGGGTGGAGGGTCGAAAGTTTGGGTTGGTAGGCTCTTATAAAGTCGTTGAGCGCTTAAAGAGGCAGGCAAGTGGGTGCACTCGATCAACGCCGCGTGTACACAAGGGATCCGAAGTCTTGTCTTTTTGTCCTTGTTGTCTGGAGGTGGTCCTTGTTCTAAGTCTGTTGTGGTTGCACGGTGGGCGGCGGGCACGACGGGAACAACACAAAAGGGACTTACCCTGTTGTCTGGTGCGGCGCGCTGGATGTGGCAAGAGCAGAAGACGAAAAGAGGCTGTGCGGGCCACGTCATGCGGTGACGGCACCTTTCGCATCACCGAGGCTTCGAGCGCCTAAGGTTTTAATAAGCGCCCGTTGATGTAAGCGTCCATTGCCGGCGCTTGTTTAGGCGCCTGGGCGCTTAAAATAAATAACTCGCCGAAATGCCCGCCTGAGATCCGAAGCGGCCACCCAATGACCGCTAGCTCTATCAACGCCGATGTCGGATATGCCACACGATTTATCTGCGAAGGTTCATCGGAAGTCTGATGCAGAGGCCTGCCAGCCCGTTCGCTGTCTGCTGACTCTACTCACTGGGGAGTTGTTCCAGAAAAATACAGCCTTATGCTTTATATATTTGCAATGGCCGAAACCCGTCAGCCGCCGACCGCAACACAGCCCTCCATCAGTGACCTGTCACTTTTGATTTTTTGATTCTTTGATTCGCCGGTCTTCTTTTCCTCCCATGTCGACGGTTAGGCGGCGTTTCCTTCCCGACCCCCATGTCGCTCACCCGCTCACCCTCCTTCACTAGCGTCCGCAGCTGGTGGTCCGATGCCAACTCGCTCGGCGCCACTGTCAACCTCCACTCGGTGGCCAAGCCGCTCATCAGGGTGCTGTACGATATCGAGGTCCGGAGACTGGTGAAGGCGACGCGTCTGCAGGAGGTCAGCGCAGAGGCTTTGGAGATGTGTTTTGCCTTTCTAAGGTGCGTGCTCTGGCGCGCGTAACGCCGTCCATCGATAACCTTCCTTCGTAGATGCCGATCCGTGGCTTCCTCAACGAAGGCTTACTTGTTGCAGGAGATGGGGAAACGATTGCCGGAAATACGGATGTCTGATGTGGAGCAGCTCTTCCCACTGTTAGACGATGTGATTCCAGAGCTTTTTGGCTCTCCGTCATCCCAGATTCGAGGCGCTATGTGCTACTTCCTAACTCGTCTGTGCGAGAAGCATGGTCCACTCCCCACAAACATTGTCTCACACTGTCTGGAAGCAATCCCCTTCTTTGATTCCAGGTTCGTCCTGTATCAATACAACACAAGTCTCAACAAGGTCCATTTAGTGCATCGCAGCTTTACGGCTGTCTGTGCACGTCCGTCCCCAGCGCACTTCTGGTTTCTGACTCCATCGGTTCCCAGCTTCTCCCATCAGCCGCCATCGACGACATCCTGCGGTACAATTTCTCGATACTCCTCGGACACTGGACCGTAACCGACCTGTGCAACGCTATCTCCCCCGAGCGACCGACGACATCGAACGACATTTCCGAGACGCTGCCCCGACGTATCTGCCCGTACGCGTGCATCCACATAGCCATCTCAGCTGACCCATAATCCCAGTCGCGACATCCTCGCCGACAGCGCCCTCGCTGCCTTGCGGCAGACCATCCATTTGAGCGAAACCGACTGCGAGACCACCCTTCTCTGCACAGCCCCAGCCATTGTCCACGCCGATCGCGATACGCCTCTCCGCCGCGAGTTCGCCTGTCGCCTCGCTGCGGGCCTCCTCGCCCACGCGTCTGGGTCGCGCGAGGCCTTCCTGCTCGAGTCGATGATGCTTTGCCTGCAGGAAGTGGCCTGGTAAGCCCACCTTGTCCTACCATCGCCTAACTCACCAATCGCCCATGCAGGCAGGAGTGCTGTGGGCATGGGGTGAAGTGGGCTGCCGTGCAAGCGCTGCACCAGATTGCGCTCAGCAGGACGAGTGTCCTCCGCGCAGGCAGCGTGTCTTTCCGTATTGTCTTGACTTGAGTGAGCATGGACGTTTTCTTGTTTTGCAGCAAATGGACTTGTACTCTACCGAAGTTTGATCATTGTAACTGCTGTTACCACGTTCATTCAAGTGCAACACTGGGCGGAGACTGACATCAAATGAGTCTTCTCCCAGGTTGCAGAATGATTATAGAAGTATTAGTACTTTGATCTATTGCCCAACATACAACGGCAATCAGCAGCCTATATGCAGCATTGTACAGTAATGTGGCTGCTGGCATCTATGCCAATGGTGGGACTGAATGTGTTGAACTGTGATCCCTACACATTGTCAACTCCCAGCTGCTTATATCCTGTTTCCATCCTAGATGCTTATAATTGGCTTTACCAACCTTCCTTATATCACATAAAGATCAACTCCCTTAGGGCCTCAATGTACATATAACCCATACTGTAATCAAACTGTAATATTTTAATCTGTTCACATGTTACATAACCCAATGACTTTCATAATATATTCTTTGTGCATGTCACATTCACACAGTAAATTTAAACCTTCCTTTTCCTATATAAACATGAACACAAATATCACCTTTCAACATATATTTCCTTCCAAAGCAAATCATATCTGAATGAAAACAGACACCAAAATGATTTCTTTTCATGCATCTTTAAGTACCAGAAAAAGACCCTCTTTTCATCATAATGAAAGAGCAATCAAAAGATGTCCAACTTTCTGTCTATAACAAATTGTGATCTTGGTGTTTTTGCAAAAAGGCCAATTGAAATTATGGTTTTTGATGTGCCTTTTTGTGTAATAATGTCTGCTCACATTATTTCATAATTCACACAAAATATACAATAATAAGTTATTATCATTTTAGTTAATGGAACTGCTAAAATTAAACAACCATGCATTGATTGCTGTCTATTAGCAACAATTAGGCCAGGTATTATACTCTTGTATCATTGATGCTAAACAATTTATTATTAGAATATAACTATTATACTGTAGTTTATATTATATTATGTCTCATGAACTGAATAGTATCATTCTATATATATACTGATATTATCATCATGTTATCATGCACTTTCTATGATACTTTTATAAAAGGAATTTCCACGTAATATAATCAACAGTTATATCATAAGCAGTGTAATTTAACTAGTGTATATAGGCTAAGACAACATTATTTATAAGACCCAAAGTGAGGGTTGCTTTTAAATTAAAGGGTCTTAGATACTTATTTACCCTTATTTAGGGTGTGATTCTAAGGGTTATTCCACAAAAAAGCAAATTGATTTTCAACTACTTATCCATCAAAATTGACCAGGTTCTTGAATTCTAAGCCAAATCTTTTCAATGACCTTCTTCATGTTGGTAGATGGGCCTCTGTTTCTAGACAGAGCCCTCAAGAGCACTGGCATCCGGCTTCTCATCGCTATGCTTGTGTCAGGGGATGAGGGTCCAGGTGCCTAGTTGATACCAAAGCCGGGGGAACAGCCCCACGGCCAACTACTTAAGTACAGGGCTATCTGCGCACGGACCAGTCACGTGATCAGTCACAGCTGTCACATCACATGCTCCCCTTACACCAACCCCTCCTCAAGATCCGTCGCCTCGACGGATAGGCGGAGTGTAGGGTTCTGCGAACTCGTATTCGGGGTCGCCAGGGAAATAGAAGTTGTCGCCTATAACACGCGATGATTGCGCAGGTACGCCCCCTCGTTGGGCCGTCTGTCGATTGCGCTGCCGACCGTGCGCTACCGCGTCAATCTGCATGGGAGTGGAAGCCACACATCACATGCTCCCCTTACAGCTTGGCGTGCAGAAGCTCCATTAGACACCCTTTCTCTGTCGACACAGCCTAGCAACAGTTGATGTCTGCCTCCATCACATGGGTCACACCAGGTCACACAGGTAGATGCGGCCTGAGGAAAGCTTCCAGCCCAATCTAGGGCCTTAACTTGAGATGAAAATAACCCAAAAATACTGTCCTATTTCAATCAAGTGTCTGTGTTACACGTTACATTGGCCAAAAAAGTCCTCGCCAAAAATCAGCTTAAATCAGAGAAAAATTTTTTTGAGGCTAAATTTTGCAGAAGTGGCGGACACTGGATTGAAATAGGACAGTAACCCTGGATTTCAAGCTGACCCTCATCATTAGAGGTAACACCTAGGCTAGTGGTTGCTCCAGTTGTAACCACTATAATTACAGCCCTACAGTGCCATTTTGTATACCTTCAGCTGCTTCCAATGACCTGTGTGGTGCATCTATGGGTGATCCAAACTGTTATAAGGCCAGTCGGCAGCAAGCTGATTATGGTCAAATTCTGAATTTGGTGACATTGTAAGCCAAGGTACTAGTATAAGCTCTATCCTCTACAGTGCCTACTCTGCAGTGTCACGCGGCCAGGAATACACCAGGCGCAGCGCGTTGGCGTCCTCCTCCATCGGCGGCGTCTGTTGTGTCTGAACCCCGGTGATCGAATTAGCATCAGCGGAATCGATAAACCGGGCGTACCTCGCGACACACGCATCCCAGATCCCCCTCCTGCCCCGCCTGTCCCGCCTCCTGCACCCCGCCGTCGAGTGCCACACGCTCGCCATCGCTGCCATCGTCCTCCTCCTCCTCCGCGTCGGGCACCCCATCGAACCCCGCGCGCGGCAGCGGGCTGCCCGGGGGCGCCGGCGCGCCGCGCACGAACTCGGACCCGCAGCTCGGCCCGCGCGCGTGGCGGCGCAGCGACGACGAGCGGGACGCGCGGCCCGGCGGCCACTGCGCCAGCAGCGAGATCGGGTGCATGTCGGCCAGCGGATCCGCGTCCGCCGCGTGCGCGTGCGCGTCCTCCCAGCGCAGCGCGGTCTGCGCGGGCGCGATCGTCAGGACCGTGTACGTGTTCCTGCGGTGCCGCGGGGACGGGCCGGGGGGCGCGTCGGCATCGGCGGGCTCGGACTCGGCGTGGCACGTGGCGCACTCAGGCTGCCGTTGGCGCGCGGACTGCGGGATGTCGGGGCTGGCCGGCCGGCTGGGCAGCGGCGTCACGATGGCGGTGAGCGTGAACGGCTTGCGGGCGTACACGTTCACCATTTTGCTGCGCCGCCATCAGTCGGGCAGAACAACACGAGGTAACATCCACGCGCCTGCTGGCGCTGCGCACGATGCCCTCCATCGTCTGGCGCAGCTTCTGCTCGTCGACGACAGACGCACTGGAGTGTTTATGTCAGCCGCTGCAGGGCAGGAAGTGGCGGATGGCAACGCACCCGACGCCCTGGCTCCCACCCCCGCCCGCGTCTACGCCCATCCCGCCCAACAACCGCGCCCGCTCGTCCGGAATGACCTATTCATCGCGTCACTAGTAGTACCTTCGTAGAGAACGCCACGCACGTCCTCCTTGTCCCTGCCCATGCATCCGCAGAACAGGGTCCTAAGCAGCATCCTCGCCGGGGCACTCGCAGGAGGCAGGCTGCAGCATGGGATGACGAAGGAAAGGGTAATATGCGCTGCCGTACACGACGCGTGGCACGGTCCGGCGCCCGGCTTATCGCTGATGACATTGAGGCCACGACGTCGGCAGCGTGCCCGTCGGCCGTCGGCCGTCTCACGCCCGGGGTCATTGCAAGCCCGATGCTGGCCCGACGAGTCACGACCTGAAGAGACATGCAGCCCAAATTCGGCTGCGCGGACCTGAGCTTGGCACTTCGGCCGTCCAAGGCGCGACGCCGTTGCGGTAGTCCAGGACGAGGTGGAGTAACACCGCTTCTCGTGCTCAGAGTCAGTGTCTCAGACGAAGCATACGCGACAGATCTCCACGTTGTGCCCCACGCGCCACGCGCCCGGCCTATCGCAAATCGCGCCCGCGCATCGCATCATATGCACACAAACGCTTCGCGCAAGCTCCGGTCGGTCACGGTGGTCGTGGCAGGCTTCCCAACAAAGCAACGGGGACCGCTTCATCTCGGGAAGTCTGCCGGGAATGAACAGATGTGTTAGACGCGTGTACGATATCATATCTGCCGACGACGTAAGCGCCAAGGACAGCGAGCATCCAGCCGTCGACGCACCAGATACTACAATGGTGGTCCACTGCGGCTTCTACGGCGCGTCCGAGTCCATCGCGGCCCCGCCCTCCTGCGTGCACGTCCAATTCGATACGCGGAAAACGTGCGGAAAACGCACGACGCACCTGGAAGACGAGCCCCTCGATGAGCGGCACCTCGTCGCCCGCCATCTCGGCCGCATCCGCGTCCATGGCGAGCTGCAGCGGCGGGCGGGAGAAACGCGCAGACAGGGCGGGAAGGAGGGAAACAAATTGATCAGCTGTCTAGCAAAAGGAACGACTCGGAAAGCGCGACGCACGTCGACCGCGGTGGTGTCCCCCTTGACCGTCGCCCCGTTGTAGTTGAACACGATCTCGCCTGCCATCCCATCAGCGTCCGCGCCTCGGCTCGACCTGCAGGCCACGCTACGCACGGCGTTCGAGGTGGTGTGCCTCCTACACCGGGCCATCAGCACCGCACCGAGCAAGCGAAGCAGCACAGAAGACGCACGCAGAACCTGACCAGGATCTTCTCCAGCGGGCGCGTCTCGCTGTACAAGAACTTGAGCTCTGTCCTCATCAGCCCTCCCTCCTCTCCCCGCGCCTCTCCGGCGCTCGTACGCACCTCTGCCGCCGAACGTCACCGCGATCTGGATCTTCCCCGGCTTCGCGTCCCGCGCCTCCCTGTCCGCGGCGGCGTCCGCACCCATGGTCGTGGTCGTGGTCGTTCGGAGAAAAGAGAAAAGGGGGTGTCACAGGTGGCGCTGTCGTGACGGGCGGGGTGATCCGCTGATGTCCGCGCGGAGGTCATTCTGCATTTCAGCGGTCGAGGGAGCAGTCCTGAAGGGCAATGAATGCGCACTGAAAGGACGGTACAGACTCCTCATGGCCAACAGCCGGGCGTCAACGGACATTCGGACATATCGGCCGCAAGTGGGCATCAGACACGTGACTGCAATCAACCAAAAGGGCGATCACACGCGGCTCTTCTTTCGCCGTCATGGGCAGCTGAGCATAGCGATGGCCAGGTCCGGTTCGGGATTTCGGTTCGAACCCGAACCGGACCGGACTGAACGCGCGTTCGGCGTTCAGGTTCGGCGAAGGCCGTTTCTGAACCGAACCTGGCCCTCGGTTCGGCCAGGTTCGGCCATTTTGGGCCAAAAAAACGCCGGTTCGGGGCCGGTTCGAACCGCCGTTCGGCGTTCACGTTCGGCCAAATCCGCTTTTGAACCGAACCGGCGGTCCGGCGTTCGGCCAAAAATGGCCAAGAACCGGACCGAACCGGACTTGGCCATCACTAGCTGAGCAGACCCATACGCCCCTCCCTTCCATGCATCCTAATGCGTTTCCCGCAGTTGGTGACTTAGTACCTAACGCGTACACGGTTGCCAGTGCGTCGGTAGAGCTCCCCTGTCCTGCGCTACTCGAGGCCGCCCCGGAGCCGACATCCGTGAGTCGATCCTAGTATAGCTCCGTCCCGCTCGCAGCTTATCTTTGGCCCCGGCTATAAAACGCTGCTACGACTCCACGACCGTCTCATGGCCTCTCTCCCCGCCTTCTCCGCACTGACCACGGCCGGCGAGGCAGCAACCGCCCTTGCTGCCTTTATTCGCGGGAAGAACGGTGTGTAGCCTCGTTATCTTCAAGATTTTCCTCCCGATAAGTATGTCCCAGTTATCATCACCGGGACATCATTGAACGGAATCGGCTGCGAGACCGCGCGCGCGATAGCGAGGCACGCGAATCTCGTGGTGATAACGGGGCATAACGACGAACGGTGCGTCCATCCATCCACATTGTATTCCTGGTCTCACCGGCCCTCACAAGCTTGAATCTCGCGGCCGAGAGTATTCGGACGAGCGTGTCCGCCGCCAACGTCCGCTGCCTTAAACTCGACCTAGCGTCGCTGGCTGCCGTGCGCGCGGCCGCGGCGGAGGTCAATGCGTACTCTGAACCCATCCACGTATGTCTCTACGTCTAATCTTCGGCTGTTCATCGAACTTTACCAGGTCTTGATCAACAACGCCGCCAAGCCCATGTGCGACTTCGCCCTCACCGCCGACGGGCTCGAGAGCCAGCTCGCGACGGGCCACGTCGGGCCGTTCCTCTTCACCCACCTGCTCGTGCCCAAGCTGCGCGCATCTGCCAGCGCGGACTGGACCCCGCGCGTCGTGTTCGTGTCGAGCATCGCCCAGTCCCGCGGCGGCACCGGCGTCGACTTCGACATGCTGCTGACGCCCGACGCGGGAAACTACGCCCCGCGCGGCGTGTACCACCAGGTCAAGACCGCGAACGTCCTCACCGCGGGCGAGCTGACGCGGCGCGGCGCTGGAAAAATCCACAGCTACAGCCTGCATCCCGGCTGTTCGTTCTCCGCGCCCTTATTTGAGTTGGATGCTGATTCTTCGAAGTGATCTACACCAACATGCTCGCCACCGCCACCGCCGTCCCCTTCTTCCGCTCGCTCGGCGCGCTCGACGACGACGGCCAGCCGATTCCCGAGGGCTGTGCCTGGAAGACGCTCGAACAAGGGGCCGCGACGTGGGTCCACTGGGTCTTGCCATTATGCTCCGCTCATAAATTACCAGGAGCGTTGTCGCCGGGTTTGACCCACGCATCGCGGATCGCCCGGGCTCTTACTTGGACGACTGTGTGATCGCAAATGAACATGCGGCGACGCACAGCACGAATCCGGTGCGCATGTTTATTGATATTTGGCATATTCTGTGGACTCCTTGCAGGAAATCGCGAAGAAGCTGTGGGAGGTCACTGAAGGAATCGTAGGGGAATCGTTTACATTTTGAAGTGTTGCTAGTTTCACCCGTGAACCCTGCTTGGCTTCATTATTTCCGAACTTGTACATCAGTAAAAGTGCACAAAAGTCTTTCAGGTCTTTCTGGTCTTTGGGCAAGACCAAAAAGATCTGAAAGACCTGAAAGACCCAAAAGACACTGGGTCTTATTCCAGCAGCGTCCCAGTCTTGGAAAAGACCTAAGGTCTTTCTCAAAGATTATGAAAGACCACAATAAAGACCTGCTTTAAGACCTCCAAAGACTCCTAAAGATGCAATGTAAAGAGTAAATAGCAGCAGTAAATTCAATATAGCTAATACAATTTGGTTATTCAACTATGCTTATCCTACATTCCATAGCAGACAGCTGCGGGCCGGCAGGAGGTTTTGACCGCCTAACACGAGCCCTCTGGCCAGCCTGGCCGGAATCTCCTCTGACGACTCGGCGCCGTCTGGATCCCACCGAGCGCGAGGACGTTGGCTTGGCCGCTTGGGTGCAGAATGTAGTGAACGTGAGCGGCGCGGGCGTGGAGATGTGTGGCGGCGGGAGGCAGGAGGCATTGTGGCGGCCACCATTGGTTCCGCGAAGACCGCATTTGGCAGCACCGGGAGCCCGCCGAGCACGCGGACATCGGCAAAGGGTGGGTTCAGTGAAAAAATCAAACGCAAACACGACACTCACCAAGCGCCGGCACTGAGTCAGCATCCTGCTTCCCTACGCGGTGTTGGGGTTAATGGCAGGGGCAGAGAAGGGGTGCGAGACGCCGAGCGGAGGGACTTCGGCTAGGCTTGCAGTGCAGCTTGAGGCTTGACGGCTTGAGGGTCTTTGACGCGCATTTGAGAAAAAGCTTTCATTTTGAAGCCAAAAGGCATTGAGAGTTGAAGAACTTGCACTTTGGGACGCTTGCTGTCGGAATTGAGTCGATAATGGGCGGGAATGGACTTTGGAGGTGGCGGGAGATGGGGGGAAAGGAAGAAAGAAAAGCGGCGACCGATCGCCGTCGCTCATCAGCCATCTGTCATTGACGTGTCATCGATGTGACACACATCAGAGAACTTTAGGGCCGTATTTGATCACTGACATATCATGATATTTGTGAACTCAGAACTCAGAAACAATGAAATAAACCTTTTACTATGAATTGTCGGATATGAATGTTGGTTCACTGGATGGTATTCAATATCATTTTCTTACATCTGAAGGGATTTTATTTTGCTAGTCCAAAGATCATATTAGAATAAGACCTAAGACAGCTTTCCAAGACCAAAGATCACACCTCAAAGACTAAAGACTCAAAAGACTTGGTCCCCAAGACCAAAGATCCTCCAAAAAGACTAAAGATTCAAAAGACTTTATGCACCTTTTACTGATGTATCATAGATGTGAACATAGAATAAGTACTGATCATGATAATTTAGTGCTGGCTTATTGTGATCAGTATTATTATGCCAAATGTATACTAATAATATAATAATATGGTCCTCTGCAGCATGATATATCCATAACATAATGTAATAAGGATAATGTGAAATATTATATTATAATTTTATTGTAATGTATATCATAATATTTGATTCTGCTCTAACAAACTTTCAGTATATTCAACCTCAGTTTTCGGTATATGGTTCAGTGTTAACATTATGTAATGTTATGAGTGTGTATACTACTACTACAGGCTGAAGCCGCTGAACATATCTTACTCCAGTGGTTGATAGTTCTATATGTATTATATATAAATGTTCTTCAACTGACAGTATTATTACCAACAGATAACAATTAGCTTGATCACAATGAGAAAGAAGACCATTCCTAGTACATAAATTGTCATGGATAAGACCCGGCCCATCTGCTCCGGTACTGGTGTCGGGCCATTGCGGGCCTGTAACATGTAAAGCACCTCACGACTGGCACAGGTAAGGTACCTCCACTCACCTGCAGGTTTTTTCAGGCAATTCAGCCATACCTCCATCCTTGAGTATTTATGCTTGTCAGGTACCTCTATCCATGGATACAGGTACCTTTAAGGGTACCTGCAGATGGTACAAAGGTGGATTAGGTATAAACAAAGGAAATACAGAGCAGTAGAATTATGTTTTAAATTGATATGCAAAATACAAGTATAACTTGCACTATCTGAGGCTGTATGATCTATTATAGGCCAGTTCTGAGGATATTTTAATGAATTTACAGGTACCTTCAAGAACTAAATCCAAGACCTCCACTCCCTGCCATCCGTGGGAAAAAGGGTACCTCCATCCGCGGATGGCTACACCTGCGGATGGGGGTCTCAGGTACCTGTTGAACCATCCTCAGGTCCAGCCACTCGTGAGGAGCTTTAGTAACATGCAGCATGTGACAATGGGGGAACAGGCACCCCAGTAGGAGGGTGGGAAGCACATGACCCAACTCGACATGAGGGACTGCAGAGGAGTGTTAGGAGGTTAGGAGTAGGGTGCAGTTTTTTGATCCGGTTTACAAACCGGTTTATAAACCAGTGTTTATAAACACTGGTTTAGTAAGATTTCACTAGGTCTCTGGTTTATAAACCTGGCTAGTCACATGACTTAAGTGATCCAACTGATCAACATTATTGATTATAAGTCCTGTACATTATATATAGTAAATTATCACCTGTACCACAGGTTACTGAGAGAAAAGAGGTATGAAGGCAACCCTTTCAGCTAGAATGTAAGGCTGGAAAAATTTATATCGTGACATCAAAGATATCACATGTTTGGTTGCCTGGTTTATAAACCAGTTTATAAACACTAGTTTGGGATACCAAAAATTATAAACCGTTTTTTAATACTCAAATATTTAAAAACTGCCCCTAGTTAGGAGTAACGGCTGGCCCACATGCAGCCAGGAACGAGAGCGAGGAGGAGCAGGAGATGCCAGGGTGTCCGACCACCCCTTTGCGGGCCTGCATATATAAGGTGCAATAGTACCCTGTACTCTATTGCTTAGATCATCTAAAGTACTGCTTCTCTCCATGCAAGGAGGTACTACTGACTCATCAGGCCCAAAACAACCCGATACGAACCCCGACAACCAACTACAGCAAGCCTAGGAGAAGCCTTGCACGGCCTGACCCGAAGCCTGACATAAATACTATGAAGTTGTAAGGGCAACCCCGGAGGCCTGACGGAATCGGAATCGTCTCCCAGAGGCCGAAAGGGAGGTTCCCCTGACAGAAGTCAAGAATATGTCTACTATGAAGTCAAGAATATGTCAGAAGACTGAGAAATAGGTTATCAGCACATATATGACCCAATCAAGCAATATAAGCTTATCAGATTTTTTTGAATGCATATAAGCTGCAGAACCTCCCAATAAGATCCAATTTGGCCTGACTGTCCTTTTAAGAGATTATCAGAGCTTATTGAGCTTATCAGACCATATAAGGACTCTTTAATCAAGAAATTAAAATTACAAAAGACACTCGATTACCTTCTCGCAAGGTTCCTATCATGTTCCCTTGGAAGTAGTAGGTCATTACCCATCCTTGTACCAACTTTAGATAAGTAGAGACATGAGTAACTACCACTACCACACTATTCAACTATACCACCCTAAGTACTTCCCCTCTATATATGATGCTCACTGTGAAGCTTATATGACCTTATTCAACCTGATCCTAGGGGAGTATTATATTGATGTATTACTGGAGGGTAGATGTCATTATTGACTATATATTAATTTAATATAATTTAAGATAGTGGAAGATTTACAAGAGTATAAGTTGCCAGTTGGGTATAAGAGTAACAACTGTATTTATGAAAAATCATGATGTTTTGGTCATAATATCAATATTTTGACTCCAAGACAGTAACAGGCCTAAGGGCATGGCCTAATTATTACAAGCCATATTTTGATTGTATAGCCTTATAAGCTGCTTATAAGCTCTCAACTGATGACTTATAAGCCCTTATCCTCCCCAGTCAGACCTTATCAGCTTAGATAGGTGTCTGATAAGCCCCACAGGTCCCCTAAGGTCCTTATACTTAAGGGCTTTTTCCAGTTTTCTGACATAGAAGCAGTACTAGTTAGTATAAAGACTGGTTTTGTACAAATCATAAGTTTGGGGGCTGTTAGCTATATTCTACTGTACATAAACGGACACTATATATACATTCCTTTCCTTTCTTTCATCCCATTATCCCAACGACGCGCTCGATACCATTCCTTAGTGTCACATATTACGTCAGCTTCTCTTCTCTTCCGAAGCTGACGCCATTGGTCTAATAGGGGCCGATATATAAGTGGCTAGAATAATTTATTATAATACAGTATGCTGGAGCTATAATAATATTGTAATACAGTATGATACAATAAAGAATGACATAATATTTGTTCCGGCCCCTAGGCATAATATGATCGTAATGATATTAACAATAAAATGGTATTAAAAAAGTCATAATATAATAATGGCCAGCACTACGTGATGTTGCAATTGTTGTCTATATGAATTTTCCACTAGTCATCGATACAGTCTTGTACTAGAAAGTCCGAAGTGACATAGAAGACTGATCATGATATTGTAGGTCCTATGTACATTCCTAGAAAGTCGAAGAGTTAAGTGTTGCTGTAGATCGAAGAAATCGGGTGTTCTGCCCATGCCAGTCGACGTCGGTCATGGGCTGCGTAGCAGGGATGCCTAAGATCCCTACATCGTCCGTTGGCGCTTGCATGGTGGGCCGCCCGCCAGCGGCCGTCCCTCCACGCGCGGGCTCAGGATGTGGCGCAGAAGAAGCCTGAGCAGCGGGCTCTCCCGCGCCCTCTCAAGCGGGAAAAACTTCTTCGTCGCAAACGTATAGCTCGCCAGCGCTTGCTCGCTGGGGAACCGCACGACCGGCCTGCCTGTGTACGCCTTGTCGGTGAGGTCGACCAGGTTCACGTGCGCATCGCGCATCGCCTGCTGGCACTCGCCGATGGTGCCGGGCAGGGGCTCGGCGCGGACCTCCTCGCAGAGCCGCTGCCAGTTTTCCAACGAGTTCTCCGCGCCGTAGAGGTCGGTGAACGTCATCGTCATCGCCGTCTTGAACGCGGCGGCGGCCCGCTTGGCGACATCGGGGTTCCACTCGCGGCGCGCGCGGTACAGGTCCCGCAGCGCGTCGTATTGTTGCGTCGACGGCCCGGCGGGGTCGTACTTGAACTCCGGGAACGACCCGAAGAACTCTGAGAGATGAGTTGGGGGTGGGGCGGGCGGTTGCGCACGTGTCGGCGGGGGGGATGGGGAGCGGGAGGATGAGCTGGAGAGACTGATCGGTGAGTGAATGCGGCGGGGGATGATCGGTTTTCGCTCTGCGGGCGTGTAAATGTCCATATCGTCGGAAAAGTCCGACTCTGCGTCCTGCATTGCGTCAGCGGACTATAACATTAATGGGATGACGACGCACCGAGTCCCCGACCGGGTACGGTGTTGACGCTCGCTTCCGCTTGCGCGAGACGGGATTGGAGGGAGCGCCGAGTTTGAGGACCACCCGCCTTGGCTTGACTGGGGAGCATATCTCCACATCACTATGACCGACATGAGCGTTCGCAAGGCAAGGCAGACGAATGCTCACCTATCTGAATCGACCTCCGTCTTGACTGCTCTGTCCGTCAGATTAGTCGCGAAAGTCTCCGGACATGGGCAAAGGACGCACCTTGTCCCTAAAGACTCTTCCTCCTCCGACCGCACCTCCACATCGCTCATTCTCATCCGCTCTCCCTCCCCCACCAGCGTCTCCGAGTCCTCGCTCATCTGCGACCGGCCCATATACGCCTCCTCCATCTGCTCTAGCGCGTCATGCATCTCCTGTGTCAACGGCATCGCGTCCCACCCAAACTCGTCGTCATCGTCGTCGTCGTCTTCGGCCTTGCTGGCGGTCGACACCTGTGTAGGTAGCGGCAAGCTGCTCGGCGGGGGCGCACAGAAGCTGAGAGACCGTCAGGCGGAACGCCTCTGATGAGAGTCAGCCACGCACCTGGAGGGAAACGCCTCCTCCGCCGCGTCGAGCGCGACGAGGAAGGCCGGCGAGTAGTCGTCCATGCCATAGAGCTCGAGGTCATCGTCGGAGGCGGTCATAGCAGGATGAGCTTCCGCGGGGAGGTGTCGCAAGCAACGTGAAGAAAGAGGGAAAAGGAGAGACGCGTAACGTCACGCGTGATCCGACGCGCTGTTGATAGTCACGCGATGTGGAAATGCGTATTGATCCGATTGGTGTTACGAATCGCGTGCAGGATCAAGTTCGCAGCGGGACGAGTAAAGAAGCTAGTTTTATACAACAGTATGATCAAAATCCTTATTTATAGTACCGAAAAAGGGAATTGATTTACTTAGCTACTCTGACTGGTGCAGTTTAAACCTGATGGCCAACTAGAGCAAAAAGATTTATGTCATAAAAGTAAACTGATAAGTAGTTTACAGGCATTCTCAACCAAAGTACAGCACCACAGCCGAATCCGGATCATTCTGGACAAGAAAAAGAGAAACAAACTTAGCTTCCACCAATGCACCATACAGAACGATACGCACCACGGAACCGCCGAGTACAATACTCTCGCTGTTCATCCGCACAACCCGGCAGTCATACCCCCGCCGCTGCCGCCGGCCGGGGCGCCGTGATCTCCACATAGGCAAGCGCGGACCGCGTCGGCCGGTCGATGAAGTCCTTGAATGCGTGCAGCGTGACCACGGGGTCGCTGGCCCGCACGAGCCGGAGCACCGCGCCGCTCTCGGTGCGCAGCGTCCCGTCTGCCGCAACGCCCGGGAGGATGCCGAGCCGGCGCCAGACCGGTGGATCAGATTCGAACTGATGATCGAGGTTGGGCACGCCGGCCATACCGGTGGAGGCGCGAGCGGCCCGCTGGACGAGCTCCACCATCCACGGGTTGGCATCTATCACGACGAGCGGGACGGGTCCGCGGAAGTTGGCCGGGTTGAGGAAGCCGGCGACACGCTGCCCGGTGTCGGCGAGGTGTGGGAGATGCCAGTCGCTGCGGCACGGCGGCTCGAGCAGCAGGGTCGGCGCGGGATCAAGCCAGCGCGCACAGTGCGGGAGCCAGTCTTTCGCGCGGAGGTGTCGCACGGTTGTGCTGGCCAGAACAGCGAGCAGCTTGGCGACCCGCACAATTAAAGTCTGCTCATGGACTGTGTTCGTCCTGGAGACATCGACGCGGTATGTGAGAAACAGCAGGGAATCGCTGTGGCGCGGAAGGAAACGCAGCTCGGCATTGGCGCGTGATGGGGAGTCGGCACTGCGGTCGAGCGACGCTGTTGGCCGGCAGAAGAAGAACTCCGACATCATCGTCGAATTGACATTGGGCGAGGGAAGGTACAATGTGGCCATGGCCACCACCGCCACCGGCTCCGATTGCAGGGACGGAATGTGCAGCACCTCGAGGCAATCGGTGGCGTTCGCGATGAGGAGCAAATGTGGGCGGAGGAAAGCAAGGACGGGCGTCTGGCACTCTATTGGCTTCTACCGCCCCGTTAGCCAAACATGTCTCAATCTATACCCTTGGCACTTACGATGACCTGTCTGCCAATTTCCCAGTCGAGCACGTGCAGCTTCAGACCCTCGAAAATGGGGCGATCAACGACCACCGCGAGCACGGTCCCCGCGCGCTGGATCGCGCTCGTCCTTTCAAGAAGCGTATAATCCGCCATGTCGCCTGGGTACGCTTCGAGTGTGATTGCGGCCCTCGCCGCGCTCGGGTGGGGGAACCCTGTCGAAAGCGAAAGGAAGCGGAGCTGCGTCACCAAGAGTCCAGACGCAGGATTAGGTACGCTGGAAACAAATAAGGTGACAAAGACAATGGATGGCCAGGCGACGCAACTGTTCTAGGATAATGAGTAGGTCCTCCTCCTCCGAGACATAGACCGCAGCCAGATGGAAAGTGGCGGCGCATTCCACCCACTCCAGCTGCTCCCGTGCTCCGCCGACCGTGGTGGTCGCGATTTTGACCGCATACTCGCGGTCGGGATCCTCCCAGCCAGCGTCGGATTCGAATCCCGAGGAGACTATGCCAGCCCGTACGGCATGCGCATCGAGTCCCCGCGGCCAGTGCAGCCGCGCCGTGCGGGCAGGCAGCAGGTTGAGCCAGCGGCGCTCGCGCTCCAGGAGAAGCTCTAGCCTGCGCGCGGTCGGCAGGTCCGGCCCGGGCCCCGCGGGGAGCTGCTCTTCCACTGCAAAACATCCAAGGTAGAACTGGTATTGGAGGCGGATGGACGTGGAAAGGATGAACGTGCGCAGGCTGCGGGTGGTTGCTGTGAGTGAGAGGAGGTCGGCAAGCGACAGGCGGGAAAAGGCCAGCTCGAGGAGCTCCTCCGGGAGGTCGAGGAAACTGCGCGGGGACATCATGGTTCAGTGGGAGTCGCGCCATCTTGCGCGCCATCCATAATTTAACTGACAATGTCTTATTGTTTCTGGATGGTCCTGTGAGCAATGTAATGAAAACAAAGAAGCTCGAAGTACAATTAAGCCGTCGACAGCCATCTGTGGACGCGTGGGGATGAGTCGCTCCGGACGCCGGAAGGAAAGGCGACATGGTGGGAAGAGGTAAGAAGCAATTTCACATGAGCCGATCGAAGAGTGGATGAGTCATGATTGGTGATGACGTGATCACCACGCGTCGCCACCGTGCCACGTCATCCCCTTCTTCTCACTTTCCTCCATGTGCAAGATGGCACACACGCACGGGCTGCAGTGCGCCGCAATCGCACAGTCGTGGTGGCCCACCTGGGCCCGGTTACCCAGTTCCCCCAATTCCAATGCGGCCGCAGCCGAAGCTCTTCGGTCGTGGATGAGCCCGCCCCCTGCGTCCCGCCACCGCTCCGCCGAACTCCGGCAACGGCGCGGAATAACCTCGTGGCTCAAGCTCACCGGAACGCGACTCCTGATCCGTCGTATTAGGCGGCGGCTTCGCAAAACGGCACCATAACAGGGCGAACCACGGAGTGCCCCTGGCTCACGAGAATATCGACGTGGACTGGCCGTTGAAGCAGCGGCAGGGCCTCCCGGGCACAGCGGGTACATCAGCCCATGCATGGCCTACGACATTGCCCGCAGCAAGAGATGGTTATCAAAAAGCATGCTCCGGTCCAGATTTTCTCCTTCTCCTTCTCCCACTACGTCGCCGAGGGTTCTGCCGAAGAACGGAAACACTTCGAGCCCGCCCGGCGCCTTGCGTGAAGCTCTCCCAGCCTCAGAAGCAGCATGCCTTGACTGTGTCCGATAGACTCGTCACATGGCCGTTCTCATAGACTAGCCGAGGAAGTGGATGTGGTAGTGAACGCGGGATGCAAATGGGTACCGGTACGCATATATTGGAACGCGAAACGCGGGGGTGTCTACCCTTCACGGTCAGCGGCACACTACTTGGGAGCAATAGTGTTGCCACCGAGATGGGGCGAGAGGCGGGTGCGGCAGTTTTGCGCGCCGGAGGGCGGAAGAGGTCGCTGGACTTGGGCGGGTTCCACATGCGGAGAGCGACACTCGCAGTGACGGGCAGGCAACTTGAAGAGCGCGAATTCCTTATATGCTGCTCCATGTTAACATTGCCAGGTATCGCCGTCTGTCACATTATTTATCGCCGTCTGTCACAATAATGTGGGCTGTCGTTCTCAGGCAACAAAGTGATTGCGAGCAGGCCGATTGGAGCCGATGGGACACATGCCACGAGCGCCGAGGGAAAACAGTGCTATGAATATGCTGATAGACAGATGGACATGGTGTATGAATGCCGCATGGAATACACGAGGTCTAGTGCTGCCACTCTTGCCTCTTGACCACGATGTACCAACACTCTCCAAGTTCTCCCGCCGGGCCTTATGGATCTCAGCCTCCTGTGGTCTACATAAATGCAGTTGGCAAGCACCTCCCAATGCAGAGGAAATTTTCAGGCTCATATATGTGGCAGTGACGGGTGGTACTGGTGGAGGAGGTGGTCCTGCAACAGGTGGAGCTGCGGGTCCTGGTGGGGCCGGTGAGGGGCCCCAATTTAACCACATTGGGCATGCCAATATTCAGTATGTGCTCCTTGATGTGTTGGTTTCTTTGGCTTAACTCTCACAGTGTACACAACAAAGAAGATACAGACAGCAAGTCCAATTTTCTATGATTCTTGTTTCTCACATATTCTATCAGATATCAGGAACAAAGTCAGAGCATGGGTTGCTCCTGTAAATTTTTTCATCCGCCAGAGTGAAATTAACACACTCCGGGTAGAAAATACAGGCAAGTGGTTGTTGGCCCATCCCAAATTTCAAGAATGGGAGGCAACACCAGGAAAACTATTATGGTGCTCTGGCATCCGTAAGTAGATTTGTTGATACTCAAACCTAGGTGCTAATGTCACTAATAGCTGGGGCTGGAAAGACTGTGCTGGTGTAAGAGTGATTGTGATCAACTATGATCTAAGCTCAATATATTCTTAGGTCCAATGTTGTGGATTATCTGCTCACCAAGTACAGGGATAAAACCAGAGGTATTGCATGGGCTTATATCAATTACAAGGAGGCAGAAACACAAGATGATACAAATTTATTAGGGGCAATCTGGGCACAGTTGTCTTTGGACCACGATATCACAGAGGCTACAAGACTCTTCAATGATCTTCACATGAAGAAAGGCATACAACATATTTCCTTCAAGGATATTCAGAAACTTCTGAGATCATCAGCAGCACAATTCCCTCAAGTTTTTATTATTGTGGATGCTTTGGATGAGTACCCAGGACCTATACAGCTATCCCTTGTTAAGAAGCTACTTGATATTGGAGAACATCTCAACTTGATGATTACTACCCGGCCCACTATCCTACCTCTCAAGGAATGGTCTGCACTAGAAATTAAAATTGCTGCAAATACAAATGACCTTGAGACATATATTCAAGTAAAGATAGCTGAAGATGATGACTTACAGCAGCTTGTCCATGGAGATAAATTGTTGCAAGAAGACATAGTACACAAGATTACCTCGATGTCTGATGGAATGTAAGTCTTTAATTTAGCTTGAACCTGATTAAGTGATGCCCTTTGTCTCATTTATATTATAGGTTTCTCTTAGCCCAATTGCAGCTTAC